TTTCAATAAACTGGGGATGATAATTGCTAAGAAGGAAAATTAAGTGGGGCGAGATGATAGAGAACGACTAAGGTGTGTGTGCTGTTTTGTATAGGCTGAAAAGAAGGTTCTTTGTGATGTGACATTTGAGCAGGAAGGAAGATCTGAAGGAAACAAATGCAGGGAGCCATGAACATATTACTGGGCAGAGAAAGCATAAGTGTACATGCCCTGAGGCAAGCTACTAATTTGAATATTTAAGGAACAGCCAGGATACCTAGGTGACTGGTGTCAACAGTAGGAAATGAGATCAGAAAGGCATTAAGTAGAAGCTCTTTTATCTGGTGAACTTGTGACTCTAATTTATTTAATTAATCAAAAGTTGATGATATTAGGGAATTATGTGATACCTACATAGTCATTTTATCCTATTTTTCCTTTAAAAGGGAGGTACAATTTACAGAGAGTGAAATGCACCAAATTTAAGTGCACAATGAGTTTTCACTATTGTAAAACCTTGTATAACTCATACCACATTAGAAACTGCATCTAAAATAGTTCGTCCTGTGGTGCTCTTGTTCTCCAATCCCCTGAACACCTACACACTGAACATGCAGTGCTTCTGCAAGGGTGGGCAAGGAGAATCCTCATTATTTTTTCTGGCTCTTTGAATGATGTTTTGATGATAACAATATGTGTTACTACTACTACTACTAATGAATGTATATTGAGTTCTTATTACAGTCCAGGCACTGTTATAAGAGGTTACATGTTACATCCCTGTGCTCATCCTAGCCTTACAAGGTAGCTACCACCATTCACATTTTATGAATAGGAAAACCAAGGCATTAAACATTTAAGGAACTTGAATCAAGGTACATAATTAATGAGTGTTGCAACCTGGACTCAAATCATGACAGTGTAACTCTGAAATGTTTTCTTTTATAGCCTATGTTAGGTTCTCCTAAGAGTTGAATTTTGTGTTATCAATATTCTCTTTTCCCTTAGTTTATATGCAAGTGAGGGCATTTTTTGTTTGTTTGTTTTAGTTTTGTTTATTGCTTCTCTTCTACCACCTTTTAGTAAAAGGCATTTATTTAGCATTATATTTGTTGGCTTGTCTCTTAGTTTATCTTTTAGTGTTACGTGGTTATTACAGCAAACACTGGATTAGGCTGTGAGTGGATATCTTGGGTTTAAGTTAATTTTTATCTTTTTTTTCTTTGAGACAGAGTCTCACTCTTTCACCCAGGCTGTAGTGCAGGGGCATGATCTCAGCTCACTGCAGCCCCCACCCTCCAGATTCAAGCGAGTTTCCTGTGTCAGCCTCTCCAGTAGTTGGGATTACGTCTGCCACCACACCCAGCTAATTTTTGTATTTTTAGTAGAAATGGTGTTTCACCATATTGGCCAGGCTGGTCCTGAACTCCTGACATCAGATGATCCACTGCTCTCAGCTTCCCAAAGTACTGAGATTATAGGTGTGAGCCACCATACCTGGCCAATTTTTTATCTTTATTCATGCAAATATCTGTTTTCTTATTAGTTAGATCTGAAGCTAATTTGTGGTATTTTTTTCAATGCTTACTACATTTATCAGCACATAAACCAAACTACAAAATTATTTGGTCATTAGCTCACAGAAGCTCCTGCATAACTATTTAAAACATTTAAAGTATGCTGAGAGCCTGAAACTTCTGGAAGCACTACCAGCAGCCTTAAACACTCATTTTCAGGATCCACTGGCAACCTCAAGTTTAGCCTCATAAATAGACTGAAAAACTTGCTCAAATTACACAATTTTCTACAAAAGAATGTTTATGAGTACAGATTAAATATATGTCAAATAGCTGGTAAATTCCCTAAGTAATAACCTTCTAATTAAAAAACAACAACAAATAAAAAATCAAAGCGAAAACCAAACATTTTTTCTTCTTAATTTACCAACATAGTTAGGAAAACCTTAAACTTTATCTAGATTTTATTTATTATATTTAAAACAATTTCTAATAAAGATAGGAAATATGGTACGTATTTTCAAGGAAAAACCCTATAATATAGACAGTCTTGCTGATATCATTACTTAATGTTTTCAAAACAATTAGGAAAAGGGTAATAGTATTAGATAGAAAAGGCTGTAGTTTATGCAAGTTGGTCATGCCCCACATTGGCTTGGCAAGCCAGGGGATATTGCAGAACTTGGATTTTCTGACTGTTTGAGAAACAGAACAGTATTTACAAATAAATAGGGGTTTCCTGGAATAGAAACTTAATACAGATGCTGATTCTCTTAAATAAACCTGGGCCACCAACTGTGCTTATGTTGATTCCTATTCTGTGTTTAAAGTCCCATTTTTCTGCTCAGTTTTCTTCTCTGAAGAGGAATGTTGAAATACAATATATGAGATTATTATTTTATAAGTACCAGGGGATTAGATTTCTGTGAAGGATAAAGTTTAGCCTGTCTTCAAGATATAGGTAAAATTTAAAAACCTAAAAAGTATAAGGAGAATCTGTTTCATAATTAGATAAGAAGTTGAAACAGCAACTTAGTTTATCACATGAAATATTATAGTTAGACGTTTTTCCATGCTAATGTCTTAATATGTAGCGCTAGCAGGCTATGAAATTAGGATAATTTGAATATTGCTTGAGTGGCAATAATATGTAATTTTGACTGTTTATTATAACTAAAGTTTAAATTAAATTCTCAATAACCTCAACTGTTAGGCTCTTATTAGAAAATGACTTATCTTAGACATTTTAATGTTTAATTAATACTAAGTGATTTCAGATTTTCTATTATAATATTCTTCATTTTTCTTAAACAATTTTTTAAATTCTTTATCCTGCTTAAGACTCACAATATTTTGTGAGATGGATGGGGCAAGAAATATAAGCAAATGAAACACTGAGTAGCAAGATACCTACCTAAAGTCATCCCTTTGTTTGATGACAGAGCCAGGGATGGTGCTGTCTACATCTTCCAGGATCATTTATGTATAAGGTACTCCTTCTAAACTTGGGGATAGCCAGGTAGTGACCATCAGTGTTATATGTACTTCTGTATGGGATTGTTTTCTACAATAAACTGAAAATACCCTATCTTTGGCTCTAAAACAGAAAATTTGATAGCTTAAATTGTTTCATATCTCAAATTTAGAAATGTGTGGACACAGTAACAGGAAATAAATATGGGAGAATTAATCCCTTATTATCAGGTTTACAGGCTGATTTCCAATATTTAGCTATCATTTTTATAGAAAATTAAAGTTGAAATGAAACAAAGTATATAATAACATGTCACTTTTTTCTAAGAAAAAAAAAACCCAAATGTCATGGAATCCGTGTTTAGATTTACATATATCTCTCCATTTTTAATATATATATTGAGTAAATGTAAATGTAACTTTGTTACTAAAATAAAATCTGTTACAACAATTATTTTTTAACTGACATTTCATGTGAATTTTGAATTTTTTGCTAGTTTAGGTTGGTTATAACAGGCAACAGAATTTCTTTTGCTTTTTTGTGCTGTCAGCTTCTGTTAATTTAAAGAGCTTGTGCTCAGCAAATTATACTTTGATGTTATTCTTTTGAGACAAACGTTTATGAAGTATTTCAAGTGTCTTTGTACTTAATTCTGTTCACCCCAGATAGCTCTGTCAAAACTTTGTCACTTATCTAATTGTCATCAATAAGTTTATATTTTACTTGATGTTATTTGAAATGTAACAAATGGTGTCAGATTATGTTTCATCTGATTTAGTTACTTTATACATATAAATTGATTAACCAGTTAAACAAATGTAGTAGTATAAATAAAACAAATATGTATAATGTATTAATTCTGTACTTTGAATATCTCTTAATAATTATGTACATATCTATACCCTTTAGAATTCTTGCTCCAATAATTGTAAATCATTTATATTAATATGATTTACTCCTCTGATAAATTATTTGGATGCTTGCTATCTATTTTAAATACACATCTATTGTGGATATTTTCTATGCAGATCAGGTGGGATTTTGGAGGCTAAGTAATATTTGATTTGTGTCTTGTAATTGCTCTACTTGAGAATTGAAGGACAATTTTTTCTTTTATATATATTTATTTATTTTATTTTTATTTATTTATTTTTTTTGAGACAGAGTGTCACTCTTGTCACCCAGGCTGGAGTGCAATGGTGTGATCTTGGCTGAATGCAACTTTCACCTCCCAGTTTCAAGTGATTCTCCTGCCTCAGCCTCATGTGTAGCTGGGATTGCAGCGTGTGCCACCATGCCTGGCTAATTTTTGTAATTTTAGTAGGGAGAGGTTTCACCATGTTGGCCAGGCTGATCTCGAATTACTGACCTCATGTGATCCACCTGCCTTGGCCTCCCAAAGTACTGGGATTATAGGCGTGAGCCACCATGCTCAGCTCTGTTTTATATTTTAATAATTATCTGTTCTGCGAGATGCTTTATAAGTATCATCTTATGTAATCCTCATAACAAATGAGATTTAGGTTTGGCACTTCTGTCCTCATTACACATATGAGGAAACTATGGCTTAGAAAGTCTTCCATTCCTAGGAAATGTGTAGACCCAGACGTGTCTGTCTATAAAGGCCAGATCTTACTCACTATAATATATTGTATCCCAGATGATTTCCATTTCAGTATTATTGGCTAGTCAGAAGTACTGAATTAGACTAAAGTCAGAATTGCACTATTTGACAGCCTGATGCTATAAAGAATATCATGATAAGACTTTAAGGTAATTACAATACAACTTGAAGAAATCAAATAGTTTGTCAAGGGCCTAGTAGAAAAGTGGCAGATCTAGTATTAGGTATTGAAATGTTAGTCAACTAGCTTACTTTTAACTTTCATTTATTTAGGCTTTTAATTTTGGATTTGAAGGCTTAAGTGCTGATGTATTTGAGAACATCCATTAAGTCATACATTTCATATTATATGTTCTTTATGCAAATGTGTACAATTAATGAAATTTTCTTCTCTTTTTTAATGCAGTGGAATGCATCCTGCTTTATTCTTGGAGTTCACCTGTGTGGCTTGGATTTATCACAGTAGCATTTGTCTTCAATCTGTGTGTTAACTAAAAATCAAGGAAAGACATGAGGAGATTTGTTTACTGCAAGGTGGTTCTAGCCACTTCACTGATGTGGGTTCTTGTTGATGTCTTCTTACTGCTGTACTTCAGTGAATGTAACAAATGTGATGAGAAGAAGGAGCGATCTCTGCTGCCTGCATTGAGGGGTAAGTGCTCATGAAGCAAATATTGTTTTTATAGAGATGAGAAGAGTGGTGACTTGACAAAATAAGAAACTTCAGAATCAGAAGAGTTTTGCCTTAGTGAGTTAGAAGAATATATAGCAGCACTATTAATACACATTTAACCATGGAGAAGTTACTTTACCTTTCTTGGTCTTTGGTGCCTTCTTGGAAGAAATGAGAAGCGTTTGCTAACCTCTAAGATACCATTCAACCTAATAAAGTCCAGTGTTCTATGACTATATGAAAAGCACAGTTTAGTGAACATTCAAACTGGGCAGCATTTTAAATCTAGGCTCCGAGAAGCCAAAAGCCTTTAAAGACCAAGCACATAACATAAAACAGAAAAAATGCTGAAGTGAGACAGGTGGCGATTGTAGCAAACGAACTGTGCATGAATGATACCACTGAAGACTTCCAAAACAGTTGAAATAAAACAACCAATTTTTAAAACAAAATACATGGTGGTATTCAGATTCACCAGATTGCTGGCTATATGCTAAGTGAAAAGATAATTTCAAGTCTACTACAAAATTACTTTAATTCAGTATTTTCCTCTTGAGGGACCAGTTTCAAAGACTAAATATGAATATAAACATAGTAATGTGTATGAATGGTTATTTATCAAGTAAAGGCATAGAGATTTGTTTTCTGCGAAGCTATTCCAGTTTTCTGTATGCTTTCATTTTTGTTGACTTCAAGATCTATAAATATATTTCTAAAATATTCCTAGAAAATGGAATACTTTTAAAGTGTAAGAGTACTCAAAATTAGTTTTATTCTCATTGAACTAACATATTCTCTGGCATAAGTTTTCTTCATAAATCTGACAACAGGCAAACTTCAACTGAAGTTTGATGAAATGTTTGTACTTTTTGAAAAAGTGAATCTAAATTATCAAGGTGAGATTTTCATTTATTTAATGAATGTGATCTGCTTTTAATGTTATAGATACTTTCAAGATTATTAAACAAAATAATAAGCAGAATTGCATTAACACTATCAGATTATATGAAGTTTAGGAAAACAGAAGAGCATTTCCAAAATTCAATTTTTGTTCAAAGAGTACTTTAGATATGTTGAGTTTGCTTTAGATTGCAAAAATACTCTTGTTCAATTGGAGAAATTCTGAATAGCTTTCTTTTTAGAAAAAATAAATCTTTCATTTTAGTTTTTGACTAATACAAATAATTTTAAAAAATACTTTGGAAGTGACTGATTCTAGACCCGCTTAAGTGGCTTGCATTTTTTTTGTTGTTGTTTGTTTGTTTTTAATGCCTTGACACTACAATTATTCTGAGAGGGAAACATTATGAGTCCACCAGTTTTTAACAAATGAACATGGGGAATGATTTGCTGATCTTCAATTAAAACCCCAGAATTCATCAGCCGTCTCAGCTTCTTTGTCAGAATCAGTTGAGTTGATGCTTGGCTGAAAGTAAAAAGTGTTTCTGATGGATTACATCAGTTTGGAATGATCATTCTGTCATTTGTTGAAGGAAACCATCTAGGTTGGCCACAAAAAAATGTTATAATCCGATTCAGCAAAACTTTGATAGCCTTTTCTGCATGTAACAAAAAGTTATAGTTTTGCTGATTTATGTCCTTAATGCTCCTTAGGTCTTAAATCTCAAAATGTGAAATTTAACAATGGAAGGCAAAAGTAATAACTTTTCTTTTTACTTAAATTGTAAAACTAAACTATTGTTCTCCTTGCTTACAAGACTTATTATTTTAGTTCTTTCGTGTTGTTAAAAAATATAGACTTGGTGGCTAACAAAGAACAGAAATTTATTTCTTACAATTTTGGGGGCTGGGGATTCTAAGATCAAGGTGCTAACAGATACAATGTCTGATAAGGGCCTGTTCCTTATAAACCGCTGTCTTCCTATTAACCTCACATGGCAGAATAGTTGAGGAACCTCTCTGGGGCATACTTTATAAGGGCACTAATTCTATTCCTGAGGGTTCCGTCTTCATGACAAAATCACCCCCTACAAAGGCCCCAACTCCTAATATCATCACTCTGAAGTTAAGATTTCAGTATATGAATTTTGCTGAGACATAAGCATTCAGTCCATTGTACTAGTTTAGTTTTACATTGATATTATTTGTCTTGAATAAATGGAAAATAGACTTGAGGGTTTTAATTTCATTTTCAGTTGTGACATTACTTCAGAATTTTACTTTCAGAATTTGCACCATGTATTCAAAATATTTTATTTGTAAGCAGATGATGCTGTGCAAAGTGTACCTAACTGAAATTTTGATGTTTGAAGTCTGCTAAAAACAGGCTTTATTTAAGTTAAAAAAAGATTCTTCTGAGCTTGTGCATCTCCATTATAAAAGCAAAGGTTTTGGAGTAGACAGCTTCTAAGATCCTTTATATGTCTAAATTAAAAAAAAATTCCTAAGGACCCAATGTTAGCATATACTATCAATTTTTGAGATATTTTCATTCATTAATTCACTCATCAATTAATTACTTAGTAAGTTGTTACTGTATGCAAATCCTGGGGTTATAACTGAGGTCCCTGATGTTTGGGACATAAAGGAACAAGGCTCCCACCTGCCATGGAGCTTAAAGTCAAATATATAGTAAGCATTTTTCTTTTTCTATATATATTTATGTGACTCATGTGTGTGTGTGTGTGTCTGTGTCTGTGTGTAGTCATGTGCCATATAATGATTTTTTTTGTCAACAACTGCTTGCATATATAATGGTGGCCCTATAATATTTTAAAATAATGATCAGTGATGTTAAGCTTTTTTTCTTATGATTATTGGCTGCATGTATGTCTTCTTTTGAGAAGTGTCTGTTCATGTCCTTTGCCCACTTTTTAATGGTTTTTATCTTGTAAATTTGGTTAAGTTCCTTATAGATGCTGGGTATTAGACTTTTGTCAGATGCATAGATTGCAAAAATTTTCTCCCATTCTGTAGGTTGTCTGTTTACTCCGTTGTTAGTTTATTTTGCTGTGCAGAGGTTTTTAGTTTAATTAGGTCCAATTTGTCAGTTTTTGCTTGTCGCAATTGCTTTTGGTATCTTCATCATGAAATCTTAGTGTGTGCTCTGTCCTGAATGGTGTTAATCAAGTTGTCTTCCAGGGTTATTACAGTTTTGGGTTTTATGTTCAAGTCTTTAATTATGTAATGAATGACTGAATATATATTTAACTAAAAATGTAAAATGTTAGAAATGATTACAAAACAAAATTGATATTAGCATCAGGAAGAAGAAGAGGAACTCGGATCTAGAGTTTTAGATAAAACTTCTCAAGCCAGGCATGGTAGTTTGTACCTGTAATTCCAGGTACTCAGAAAGCTGAGGTTAAGGATTGCTTGAGTTCAGGAGTTTGAGTCCAGCATGGGCAATATAGTGAGACTCCATCTCAAAAAAGAAAAAAAAAAAGAAACTTCAGAAGGGCTGTAACATTAAAATTGAGGTTTACAAGCTTAGAGTAGGAAATAACTAGTAAAAAGCAAAAAACAAAAACAAAAAAACCTAAAATTTTAAAGAAATCATAAAGATTCCAGTAAACCCAGGTTACTGGAGAAAAATATGGAGTGGGGATTTCACAAGTAACAGCTCTTCAAGTGTAGAGTAATTAAGGCTATATAATTGGAACAGAGAAGCACAGGGGGAGACAAGTTGTCTGAAGGAAAAGAATTAGCCTCCGGATGTCAAACCACATATGTTTCAAACCTTCAATATATGACAAGAGAGGCACTGCGGATCAATGGGAAAAGAGAGGCTGTTCAATAAGTGGAACTGAGAATAAAATGGTAATCCATGTGGAAAGAGATAAAATTGGATGCCTAACTCATGTCGAAACGTTTGGGTTTAGGACTTAAAATGTCAAAACCAAAACTAAAACTTTTGCAGAAAAATATTTAGACAGCTATAAGACATTGGAATAAAAAATTCTTAAAAAATAAAAAATTACCACAAAAAATATTGATAAATTTGACTATATTAAACTTGAGAATGTTAGTTCATTCAAATGTACCTTAAGGAAGGTAAAAAGAGAAGTTAAAAATTGTAGAATATATTTAAAGAAAACACAATTGACACATTATTAAGTATATATAAATAACTTTGCATATATCAAGTATATATAAAATTTTTTTATAATAAGAGAAGCCCAAATTACCCAATAGAAAAATGTGGGCAACAGAAATGAGGTGATACTTCATAGAAAATGAAAGGCTTATGGGAAATAAACTTGTGAAGATATAATTAACAGCAGCTGTACTTGACAAAATGCAGATTGGGATAAAGTGATGTATCACTTATATGTAGTTGGTAAAAACTAAAAATGGCTGATAATATCAATATCTAATTGGGCATTATCTCTGAAATCCAAACATTGATATATAATTCAGCACTTACAGTCATATACCCAAGAAAATTTCTACATAAACAAAATGTCCATAGCACTACTATTCATACAAATAAAGCCTGAAAATGGCTGATCAATCTATTAGTGGAAAACTTGATGAATAAATGTTAGTATATCAGTAGAAGGAAATCTTATATAGTGGTTAAAATGAATGAACTTCAGAGACTTTCATCATGATTGAATCTTGAACATATAATAGCAAATTATGTACAAAAAGTACCTATTGGGTACTATGTTCACATCCTGGGTGACGGGATAATTTGTACCTCAAACCTGAGCATCACACAATATATCCAGGTAACAGACTTGTACATATACCCCTGAATCCAGAATAAAATTGTAAAAAGGAAAAAAGTTATATCATTCAAAGATTATATATAGTATAATAACGTTTAAAATGCTAAAATAACTAAAATTTTAAAAAATAATAGAATTTAAGAATATAAAGAGATACAATAAAACTACAAAACCCAAGCAAGGTTTATTATGAATATGGGAATTACAAGGTTGTCTGTATTGTGTGGAGGAGATTGGGGTATGAGGTGGGGGTGAACATTTTGACTAATGTAGAGTATTATTACA